CAAAAGAAATTCACATGCCAAAATCACAGAGAAAAAATAATAACATGTAAAACCAAAATAACATATCCCCAACAAATGCCAATAGTCCTCTAGAGGAGTACAATGGGAACCCCCTAGAGATAACACAGGACATGGAATTCAAAAGAACAATTATAAACATGATAAAAGATTTCAGTAAATTTAAAAGACACACAAAGAAATCAAAGAACTGAAAGAAGATAGGGATAAACTTCTGAATGAATTCAGAAAAGAGAAATACTGAAGAATAGGCTGAAATGAAGAAGGAAGTTAAACACTCAATAACTCAATTAGAAATGACAGGAGAAAGCCTTACCAATAGGATGAATGAAATGGAAAGCAGAGTATCAACACTGGAAGATAAAGTGGATGAATTAGACAACTCAAGCAAAGATTCTGAAAAATTTAAGAAAACACAAGAATGGGATATGCAGGAATTGTGTGACACCATAAAAGGACAAAACTTACATATTATAGGCATACAGGAAGGAGAAGAATCTCAGAATAACAGTATGGACCAGATTGTCAACAGGATTGTAGAAGAAAATTTCCCCAAATTAAAGAAAGATATGCCCATACAAATAGAAGAAGCATATTGAAAGACAAATAGACAGGACCAGAAAAGAAACTCCACAGCATATCATAGGAAAAACATTAAATGTACAGAACAAAGAGAGAATACTGAAAGCTGCAAAAGAAAAACAAGTCACATATAAAGGAAAACCCATCAGAATTGCAGCTGACTTTTCAGTGCAAACTATGAAAACCAGAAGAGCCTGGGCCAATGCATTCCCAGTTCTAAATGACCACAGATGCCAACCCAGATTTCTTTACCCAGTCAAATTGTCTATTGAGTAAAAGGGAAAAAAAAATCTTCCATGACATAAATAGGCAGAAAGTATTCATATCCATAAAACCAGCTCTTCAGAGAGTTCTTGAAGCAATACAAAGAGCTGAAGAAATGAACAACCATATACTGGGGGTTAGAGGAAGAAACTTAATGAAGATCTAACTGTGGAAATGCATAGCTATGCCAAGAAAGTGAATGGAAATAAAAATGACAGGAATAAATACACAACTTACATTAATAACTTTAAATATCAATGGACTGAACTCCCCAGTCGAAAGACACAGACTAGTTGAATGGATTAAGAAATAAAACCCATGTTTTGTTGTCTTCAAGAAACTCATCTCACTTTCAAGGACAGGAATTACCTTAAGATGAAAGGATGGAAAAACATACCAAGCAAATGGTACTAAAAAAATGCAGGCTTTGCAATTCTAATATCTTACCAAATAGACTTCAAACTAATCAGAAGAGATAAAGAAGGCCACTTCATTCTGATCAAAGGAATAATTGGCCAAGAACATATTACAATCATGAACACATATTCAGCAAACTCTGGTGCACCCAACTTTATAAAAACAATACTACAGGGCTTTAAGACCCAGGTTAATCCCAACCCATTAATAGTAGGGTACTTCAATATCACATTGTCTCAACTAGATAGAAAATTAACAGAAAATTAACAGAGAGACATCTGAATTAAACAATACTACACATCAAATGGGCCTAACAGACATCTACCAAATATTCCACCCAAGCACCAAAGAATATACTTTATATTCAGTGCCCTATGAAACTTTCTCCAAAACCAGCCATGTCCTGGGGCAGAAAGCAACCTTCCAAAAATACAAAAAGATTTAAAATTCCATGCATTCTATCAGACCACAATTCAATAAAGCTTAAAATCAACACTGGAAGAAACCCTAGTAAATACATGAACACATGGAGATTAAACAACATACTCCTGAATGATAAATGGGTCAAAGGAGAAATTAAGAAAGAAATACAAGTATTCCTGGAATGAAAAGGACAATACAAGACATCAAAACTTCTGGGACATGTTGAATGCAGTCCCTCGAGGGAAGTTTATAGCTCTAAGTCCCTACATTAAAAACCAGAAAGAAGACAAATAAATGATTTTACATTGCAACTCAAGACTCTTGAAAAGTAACAACAAATGAAACTCAAACCCAGTAGACAAGAAGAAATAACAAAAAATCAGAGAAGAAATGGATGGAATAGAAACAAAGAAAACAATACAAAGAATCAACAAATTCAAGAGCTGGTTCTTTGAAAAGGTAAACAAGATTAACAGACTCCCTAGCCCAGTTAACCAGAAGAAAGGAAGAGCACCTCCAAATAAACAAAATAAGAGGTGAAAGGGAAACATCACAACAGATAAAAAAGATCCAGAACATTATAAGGGAATACTTTAAAAACCTATATGCTACTAAATTTGAAAACCTAAAGGAAATGGATGGTATTTAAAAGTATAGGAACCACCAAAACTAGACCAAGAAGAGATCAACAGCTTAAATAGACCCATAACACATAAGGAAATTGAAAGAATAATACAAAACCTCCTGACTACAAAAAGCCCAGGACCAAATGGATTTACAGGAGAATTTTACCAGACATTTAAAGAAGAGCTATATCCAATGCTACTTAATTTATTCAAAAGATAGAAATGGAGGGAGAACTTTGAAATTCTTTCTATGAAGCCAGCATCACTCTAATATCAAAGCCAGGTAAAGATACAACCATAAAAGAATACTATAGACCCATATCCTTAATGAACATAGATGCAAAATTTCTCAACAAAATACTTGTAAACTGCATACAGACACACATTAAGAAGATCATCAACCATGATCAAGTCAACTTTATTCCAGAGATGCAGGGATGGTTCAATTTACGTAAGTCAATAAACATCATAAATCATATAAATGGACTCAAAAGCAAGACCCACATGCCCTTCTCAATAGATGAAGAGAAGGCCTTTGACAAACTGCATCATGCATTTATATTCAAAGTCCTAGAGGGAAATGTACTGGAGGGATCATACCTCAAGATAATTAAAGCCATATACAACAAACCCACAGACAACATCATTCTAAATGGAGAGAAGCTGGAAGCATTCCCATTAAAATTAGGAACTAGAGAAGGCTGTGCACCATCTCCACTCCTTTTTAACATAATGCTTGGAAATTCTTGCAAGAGCAATAATACAATAGATGGAAACTAAAGAAGTAATCATTGCAAAAGAAGAGATCAAAATATTCCTTTTTGTAGATGACATGATATTATATCTAAGAAACACCAAAAATTCCAACAGAAAACTAGAAATGATTAACACTTTCAGTAAAGTGACAGATTATAAAATTAATCTACAAAAGTCTGTAGGCTTTCTATATAGCATAACAAGCAATCAGAAAAAGAGCACATGGAAGCACTCCCTTCCACAACAGACTCAAAAAAATAATATATCTCAGAATAAACCTGGCCAAAGATGTTAAAGACCTCTAAGAAAATTTTAAATCTTTAAAGAAAGAGATTGAGGAAGACATCAGAAGATGGAAGGACCTCCCATGCTCATTGACTGGAATAATTACTATGGTGAAAATGACCAACCTACCAGAAGCCATTCATAGATTCAATCCAGTGTCAATCAAAATCCCCATGAAATTCTTCACAGAATTGGAAAAAATCATCCTAAGATACATATAGAACCACAAAAGACCTCAAATAGCCTAAACAACCAAGGGCACTAAGAGCAATGCTGGGGGGGGGAACACTATACAAGAAAATAAAATGTAATACAGAGCTATAGTCATAAAATAGCATGGTACTGGCACAAAATAGACCCATAGGTCAATAGAACAAAATTTAAGACCCAAATATGAGCACATGCAATGTCATCCACCTGATATTTGACAAAGGGGCCAAGAACATTCACTGGAGGAAAGACACCATGTTTGGGTAAAGGTTCTGGCAAAACTGAATCTCTACCTGTAGAAGAATGAAACTAAAACCCTATCTTTCACCTTGGACAAAAGTCAACTCCAAATGGATAAAAGACCTCAATGTGAAGCCTAAAACTCTGAAACTGTTAGTAGAAAACCTTAGCAATAACCTACAAGATATAGGTGTAGGAAAGGAATTTCTAAACCAGATATCAATTGCTCAGGAAACAAGGTCAAGAATCAACAACTGGGGCCTCATTAAACTAAAAAGCTTCTGTACATCAAAAGAAAAACTAAGGAAGTGAAAGAAAACACACAGAATGGGGGAAAACCTTCACCAGCCACACATCTGACAAAGGTTTAACATCCAGAATATATAATGAACTCAAAAAACAAAGAATCAAGAAAAGAAGCAACCCAATTTAAATATGGGATAAGGAGTTGAACAGAAAGTTATCAAAGGAAGAAATAAAAATGGCTAAGAAACATCTCAAAAGGTGTTCAACATCATTAGTGATTAGGGAAATAAAAATTAAAAACACTTTAAGATTTCATTTACCCCAGTCAGACTGGCTAAGTTCAAGAGAGCCAATGATACCATGTTGGAGAGGATGTGGGAAAAGGAGAACACTCATCCATTGCTGGTGGGGCTGTAAATTTGTTCAACCCCATGGAAAGCAGTGTGGAGAACTCTTTAAAAAAATACAAATCAACCTACCATTTGACCTGGTTATACCACTCCTTGGCATATACCCAAGGACCTCATCCTATTGCAGAGACACCTGTACATCCATGTTTTTTGCTGCTCTTTTGACAATAGCAGAGAGATGGAAGCAACCTAAATGTCCCTCAGCTGATGAGTGGATAATGAATATGTGGTTCATTTACATGATGGAATTTTACTCACCAATAAAGAAAGATGAAATCTTGAAATTCACAGGTAACTGGATGGAACTAGAAACTGTTATGCTAAATGAAGTAACACAGACTCAGAAAAACAAACGATGTATATTCTCCCTCATATGTGGATCCTAGCACCAAATTCTTATCAGTGATTGTGTATCCAGACATAACTGCAGGAACCACGTTAATGAAAAGGAATCAGGGAAGTAAAGGAAAAGAAAGAATCTGAAAGAGAAAATCAGTAGGAATCAGGTGTTAATAAGGGAGATAGGTATAAAAATGGGGTTATTTTAAAGGAATGGGGGAGGGAAGGTTATACAAGGAACCTAGAGGATAGAGGGAAATGAGGAGCTCAAGACAGGAGGGACCATAGGAGAAGGGTATTATTAAGGGAGAAATGGGAAAAATGGGGGCACCTTAAATGGGGAAACCATGATGGACAGTTTAGACAATTTGAGAGATAAGTGATACCTAACTAGTTTTAAAAAAGGGGGGGGAACCATATTAGTCCAACAACCTACTGACAAATTATACATACACCTAGCTCAAGGAACATAATATATGTCTAGTCAATGTTTATCTGAGAACCTTTTGTCTTTGCCCAAGCTTTATCTACATAGCACATGGTAATTACAAATACCAGACTGATGTAACCAACCTTCTTGGATATTTAACAGCTATACTTTGAGGCCTATACTAATTTGGTCATAGGGACTTAAAGGACAGTTTTTGTTCCTTGCCCTCCAAGGTTGACTAAGTTCCAGGGGACTATGGAGCATCTCTCAAAATGTCCTGTAACTGTGGTGAGTCACCTGTCCTCTTGATCAGAGAGGTCACGGAGACCCACCAGACAGACTTGAACCAGTGACCAGTCTACAAAGAGGAGGGTCAACACAGTGGAAACATTTCCTCCATGCTTCCAAGTGAAGCCAGTCATGGTTGAGGAGGACCTTTGACTTATCTTCACATAGATGGAACTGGTAAAAGAAAGGAGCCAGGGGCTCCTCCCAAGCCCATGTGATCCCATAGGAACAGATACTCAAACGACCTTAAGAGTAAAAATAGCTGGTAGTGGTGGTGCATGCCGGCAGGATATGCTGGACTTCGAGGCCAGCTTAGGCTAGATATTGGGGGCTGGGGAGATTACTCAGTGGTTAAGGACACTGACTGTTCTTACAGAAGACCTGGGTTCAAATCCCAGCACCCACATGGCAGCTAACAACTGTCTGTAACTCCATTTCCAGGGTGTCCGACAGCCTCTTCTGTCCTCTGTGGGCATTGCATGACACAGGTGCACTTACCTACATGCAGGCAATATACACATATGCATAAAATAAAAATAATAAATAAAATATTTTTAAAGAGTAAAATGAAATTGGTTTATCTAGGCCAACTGTATGGTCTTAAACACCCAAAGGAATGTATAACCAAAGATTAAAGGGATCAACATAATTCGTTAAGAGTCCATGTGTATAGCTAAAGGCTACATAGCAGGAAACAATGCCAGACAGGAGATACCTTCCTTTGAGTTGTTGGCCAGGGTGGCCCCCAAGAGACTCCCAGACAGCAACCCATTATAGAACTGGGATATTGAACAGCAGACCCCAATCTTATTTAAGCGATTACTGGCAACTGATTACTGCTAGATGAGGAAGAGCTGTTCTCCCTAAAACAAGGCTCTCTAGATAGGCTGACTAGACTAGCAAATGGATAAACACTGGGGATCAGATGGGGACACTGACAACACAGTGGGCAGTAACAGGGGTGACAGGGTATATGGGGCCCATTGGGGTGTATGGGGGGTTTCATTTAGGGTGTGGGTATATAGATGAATAAGATTGTTTGGGATGTTATGTATAAATACCCACAAACAAAATCAACAAATTTTTTAAAAAATGAGTTATATTTGAGGAAGAAGCATAAAAATTTGCTCCATGTTTGAGGTGAAAAACATTACCATTGATATCTTCTTGATGACTTTATATCCATCCTCAGGTGCCAAGGATCTTAGAAAGTAACTGACAGCGACTAGTAATAAGCAGCTATATAGTGATTAGAAACACATGTGCAAACATCTAAGCATTAGTTGCATTAAAAATGAGTTTTTCTGTAGGAAACATTATATTTTAAGATGAAATGGAGATCTTTTTAAAAGGTTAAAACCTCATTCAATTTTATGTCTTACAGGATTTATACTGAGTACAATATTATATAACTAGATTAATTCAACTGTGAACCTAAAAATTTACAGACAAGTTTGAAAGAGATGCATCTTTGCTCTGGAAATTGTTATTGAATATGTCAATGCTGTTGTAATGAAATGCTTCTTCTAATTATGTGGTCATTAAATAAATAATTAAAAATAAAGGTCCATACAAGTCACAGGAAAAGAGGGGGAGAGGTATATTCTGTTTCAACAGCATGTTTAATGAATATAAAATATTTTTGTTGCCGTTAAGGGATTTCATTCTTTATTCAGACATCTTGAGCTTCATATACATTTATGTTCAGATATTCAGAGATCCCACCCAAAAAAAGATGTTGGCTGCCCACATCATGCAAAGCCTATGGAGGCCAAAAGAGAGCCTTGGATCCCCTGGGCCTGGAGTTATGGGCAGTGGTTATCTGCCATGTGGATGCTGCAAGAGCAGTCAGTGTTCTTAACTGCTGAGCCAACTCTCTAGCCTCATCTCATTTATAGTTACATGTTTTCAAGGTTACAATGACCTACTAAGGTAAAATCAGGAAAAAAAGAAAGAAATTCTAAGAATAAATGAAAGACCAATTTTATTTCTCTTGTTCCAGATCTTATTGCTGAATTCAAAATTACTTGGCATTTATGTTACAACTTTTCTTAGTTCGTGAAACGATTCCTGCCAAACTATCTAAATTCCTATTCCTGGAAAATTCAGCCCTTTATTTTTTAATTCAGTGCTCCTCAAATCCTAGCACATATCCACAAATGCTTTTAAACCTGTAAGTCATTCACCTAGATTTTCTTTCTACTGGATAATAGCAGGTAATCTTCTATCTTATTTTCCTATAGAGTTTCAAATGTGTTTGGTTTGAGAGAATAATGAAGATTTATCATAAATCTCTTTAAAGCAGCCTTCACATCCTTGTTCCTCAGGCTGTAGATCATAGGATTCAGCATTGGGATCACCAGGGTGTAAAACACAGAGGCCATTTTATCAGTATCTAGTGAGTGATTACTTTGAGGCTGCAAATACATAAATAGCAGTGTCCCATAGAAAACTGTGATGACCATAATATGTGATGCACAGGTGGAAAAGGCTTTTTTCCTTCCTTCTGATGAACGTATCCTTAGGATAGACAAAACGATGTTGAAATAAGATACTAGTATGATACTCAGAGAAAAAAACATATTTGTACCTGCGGATATAAAGATTATAACTTCTGGAATGTAAGTATTGGAGCAGGACAGCGCTAACAGAGGCAAATTGTCACAATAGTAGTGATTGATTATATTAGAAGAACAATAGGACACAGAGAACACAGACACTGTAACAACAGTTGCTGTGCAAAAGCTGTAGAGGTATGTGAGGAACACCAGCAGGAGGCAGAACCGCCGAGACACCACCACCACGTAGAGCAGGGGGTTGCCGATGGCCACATGGCGGTCATAGGCCATGATGCCCAGTATGATAACCTCTGCCACAATGAAAAACAAGAATCCTCCTAGTTGGGTGGCACATTCATAGTATAAGGTGGTTTTCTTACTTGCTAAGAAGTTGACCAGCATTTTAGGGGCAATAACCGTGGAGTTGCCAAGGTTGAGGACAGCCAGGTGTCTGAGGAAGAAGTACATGGGAGTTTGGAGTCTAGAGTCCACACTGGTGAGGGTGATGATGCCCAAGTTCCCCATCACCGTCAGATTATAGATGAACAGGAAGACCAGGAAAAGAGGGATCTGTAGCTCTGCACATTCTGAGACTCCTATGAGAATGAACTCAGTGACTTGGGTAAAATTGTCAAGAGCCATGTTGGAATTGGAAGTTATTCTACATGTGGAATGGAAGAAGAGACGTTGCAAGTTACAGGAAGTACTTTCTAGGTGTGCCATTAGATAGAAAAGCCAATTACTTGGATAAGGATTTATTGAATTACATTTTCATCTTGTTCTATTATTAGCCTCACATTTCTGTATCCAGTGAAGAAAATTTAGAACTGCTTAGATGGTATAAATATGTTTTTGGTAAATTTCATGGTGGCCCAAGATCACACAAATGTTTCAGACATTCCCCTTATACTCTAATTGATTCATCAGAGTGTTCTTAACATGCAAACATTTCATACCACAGTACATTTGTTATGACTTTCACAAATAGATTAAGAAAGCCTAAAAGAATTTTATGTACCAAATAAACCCAAATGATGTGAAAAGGTTCTTAACCTGAAACTTCTTTCTCAGTAATAGATGATTCTAGACACAATCCTGGCCTCTTTCACACTCCATCCTTCTAGCGTTTCTGAGACAATGTTCAAGCTTCAGATAAGTTATTTGTTCTTCATAGATTCTCTGTGATGTTCAGACAAAAACCTGTTAAGGAAACATACAACCAAGATCATCTCAGACTTTAAAAAGAGTTATAGTAAATTAAGCAGTGATAAGAAGATACATTAGGGTAAACGGGACAATGAATTTTACAAGAGGCCTTAAATGAAAGCCTTTCAGTGACTTTAGAACTGAAATGAAATTATCAGCAGCAATCAGTTATATAAAGTTGTGGGACTAATATCCAGGGAAATAGTCATTTTGTAAGAAATGCTGCTTCTGTGTGATAACTCACATAGAAGACTTGCCCCCTCCCAAGAAAGTGGAGGGGGAAGACAGAAGTTTCATGAAAGAGAGCATGATGTACTGTAACAAGAAGTAGATAATTATTGAAAGCAGAAAACAGAGTTCATGGTAGCTATTCAGATGCAAAGTAAATTATAAAGTGTGGAAAAATTCCAGGTATGTGATTTACATGTCAGTGCTTTTGTAAATTGTTAAAATAGTATTTGTGCGACTTTGATGATATTGGATATTAGCGGCTGAGAAAGTCTAGAGGTAGAACATGCTGTCTAAACCATCAAAAATTAAATATTGTGAGATTGTCAATTATCTTGGCTTGAGCCAAGATGAAGACAGTAGTTGGTAACTTTGAACAGTTTGGAGCAAAAAAATAGATAATCTCCTAGGGGGCTGGAGAGAAAGCTTGGCAGTTAAGAGTGCTGACTGCTCTTACGGAGGGCCTGGGTTGAATTCCTAGCACCCACATGGCAGCTAACAACCATCTTTAACTACACTTCCAGGGAATACAAGGCCTTCTCACCTCTGCAGGCATTGCACAACAAGGGTGCATTTACACACATGCAGGCAATACACTCATACACAATAAATAAATAAGTAAATAAAATATTAATCTCCTCAACATAATCAACATGATAAATTAATGGCTGATAAATTAATGGCTGATGTATGTGGAATGAAAGATGGTGGTTTCTGTCATGAAAGATTTGTGAGGTGCAGTAGGCAGCGGGGACAAGGAGACATATTCCTTACAATCACTTATCACCAAGGCCAATATCAAGGTGATGTTTTCAATGCATCTTCCAGTGTTTATGAATATTTATCAACCATCAAATCTCAGGGTGATATTTAAGTCGAGCATGCTGGTGGATGTTAGAGTTACAGGAAATTGAGAAATTTCAGTCTAAGTAACTGGAAAGAAATTTTTGGCTACTTCCAGGTTTTTTTTAATAATTTGTAGCTAAATTTTTACTATTCCCTCCTTCAACTTGCATCAGCTTTCCCTGAAGCTTAATATTTCTATTTTTGAGTTTCAAATTTAAGGGAGAAAAAAATATGAAATTTATTCTTGAACATTCATTCTACTTTATGTAAGCTGCACAATGTTTGGAAAAACAGCAAGTCTGCATTTTCATTGTAGGTTTTATTTACATTTGAAAATGTTGAATAGATTTTATTTATCCATCCAGGTGCCAGACTTCCACAGGTGCTTGAGTCTTCCACTTGCTTATTCAAGCACCTCTCCTTCTGTGGAACTCTGTGGTTTTAACTAATTAAAGTCTTTGTTTTGATATATTCTCAGTCTGGATAATAGCAGCTTTATTTTATTATATGAAGGAGGATTTATGAAAATATATACATCATTACCTTAGCTATTTTTTATGCATATATACTTCCCTGATTGTACTGTATAGTAATAATATATCCTCAAGAAGTGGTACAGTATTTACTAAGTGGCAGTGTAGCTATGTTTTTGACAATTTACCCTGTAAACACAATAAAAGCAAACAGTAATATTAAAGCCATGGAATATTCTCAGTGATCAAATTTCCACTACTTCAGTATTGAAACTATGTATTTGACAAAGAGGCATCATAACATTAGTTCCAATAAAAAAATTAAGAGTGAGATTGTGTTTTATACTGAAAATTTCTAAAATCAAGTATAAATCTTGTCACCACATATTAGTATAAATATTTCATTTGGGGGCTAGAGAGATGGCTCAGCAGTTAAGAGCACTGACTGCTCTTGCAGAGGACCTGAGTTCATGGCCCAGCACCCACACGGCAGCTAACAACTGTCTATAACTCCAGTTCCAGGGGATCCAACAGCCTTCTGTCCACCGAGGGCATTGCATGACACAGGTGCACTCACATACATGCAGGCAACACACTCATACACATAAAGTAAAAATAATAAATAAAATATTTA